AAGAAACATGATGGTCTGAACTACATTAGAAATTTTCATGAAGCTGCTTTAAAACAACAGCATTTTAAGTAAGGTTCCAATGCTGCAAAGTCTTACACACACGCTTAACTTTATGCATGGGAACAGTCCCAATGAAATCAATGGGACTTCACATGTGTATAATCTTTGTAAGATTGGGACATAAGAGGACTGTTGGGTTTTTTGTGTGGCTTTTGGGGGGGGGGGGCGCCACGGGAACGTATGAGGGAGCGTTAATTCTGCCTTTTTTCCTCAATACCACTCGATGCATGCAACTTAAAAATGCAATTTGAAATAATTTATATTGTTAACTGCAATATGGCAGTTCAGAGCTTGGAACAGATAGAGGCATTATAGAAAGTATGACACTCAAATCTCCACCTCCTCTCCCCCTCCCATCCCCATGTACTTTTCTCTGTTACCAGATATAAGAAAAATGTTGATGTACACACCCTCAATCCAGACACTGGAAGGACCCTAGATGTAATCTGCCAATAGAAGTACTTCCAGTACCTAATTACAATAAAAGTGTTTCTCTATCAAATATTTATCTTCATTTCCAACAGATTACAATGGAATAAGACATAAGAATATTAATATTGTTACTGAAACTGAAACTTAAGAGAAGTCTGGGCTTGTTATGCAAGAATAGATATCAAGTCCCATTTCCAAAGGAGATTTAGAATATTTTTCAAGAGCTGTTCTGAGAGATTTCTATATTCACTCCTACATTTTTGCTAATCAGCTCTAAAATGTACCCTGATTAGCACGCAGGTGTGTATATATACACACTTTATATTTTCCCAGTATTCAGAAACTAATTCAGTATGTCATTCTTCCTAATTAGGACAACTTGTGTCACATTGTACTGTAGTATTTGCCATTGTTTTTGTTTTCAAAAACATTGTTTCCTTCACAGCATTATATAAAAGTATACTACTGCACCTATCACCCATAGGTCTTAAAGCACCTTGCAAATACTAAGCCTCAATACAACTAAGCATGCATATATGTACTGGATCAACTGAGAGACAGAAGTGAAGTAGTTTATAGAAGGTCACAGACCAGTTTATGGTAGAACCGGAACTGCGGAGTCAAATTCCAGAACCTTGCTACGACCACCAGCCACTACAGTCAGTGACCCTCAAGTATCATTTTCAGATTTTGTTCTAGTCTCTTGTAATTTTATTTGCAATGATTCAGCATATAATCAATTCTATTGTTTGTCCAATAAAAATCAGGATTTGTACATAAAGTATTTCTTATATACCAACTAGAAATTAAGTACAGATTTTGTAACATACTGAAATACACTATTTCTGAAGAAATTTTGTAACATCCTATTTACCCCAATTAATAAGGCTCTTGGATACTTCTCATTCTTCATTGCTGAAAATAAAACAAAGAAATACCAATCCAAAAAAATGAGCTAATGTGTAGAAGTAGAACATTTAGAACTATTGTAGGAATAAGCTATTCTATGAGTGGCTGCAATACACAAATCTGTTCTCTAATCCAGTCCAGTCAAAATACAAATAATGGTACAATGTCAGCTTCCTGAAATTTGATCAGCAAGCAACAACTCCCATTTAGACATCTCAGTAAGTGGCTAGATTTTCAAAAGCTTCCATTGAGAAGGGAACTGCTGGCTTCTGAGCACTTTTGAAAATTTGCCCCCAATTTTGGGTGCTGAACACTTTTGAAAATCTCACCCATAGTGAACTAACAAAGGTTTCAGAAAAAAGATGAAGCCAACACAACAGTAATTTAGCATAGTAATAGCAAAACAAAACAAAACTGTCACAGGACCACTGAAAAACATTACAGCACTCAATAAAAGCATCAGACTCTAACAAATGTGTTTCATTGACACTATTTCTAGTTTGCATGCCTTCTAATGAAATGAGAATTAGTTTCTTACAATAGGAATTTTCACCACTTAGGTAATGTCCAGATTATCTTCCAATAATACATTAAATAAACTTCTACATATGATCCATGTTTTTACACTCTTCACATATCTACAAGAAAAATGTAACACCTTAATAGAAAGCAAGACACATGTATTTAAGGGTTTGATATTGTATGTAAAAAAAATTTTTTTTCAAAAAAGATTTCAAAACTATACCAACAATTTTTAAATGTACAGGACTTGTGATCAAATACATTATGTACACATTTGAGCTCCACAGCAGATATTTGTTCTGTGTTTACAATGCAAGTACACACATAAGCAGTCTGCATAATCATCACTCACACTAATGACTTTCAGAAAAATTGTTACTAATACACTAAATTATGTTACCAATACACTAAGTTTTTCTCACCATCAAATTTCTATTTCTGTTTTTTCTTCTCATCTTCCTTTGCTGAACGTTCAGAAACTCTGGAAGGGATTTTAGCTCTCTTTTTAGTTACTGTGTCTTTCCCTGCTTGAGAAGGGATAACCTCCTTTTCAGTGGCTGATTTCTTCATAGTCTCTTTGTGTTTTACATTATTGTCTATTCCTGATTTTTCATTTTCCTTGCCTTTGTCTTTTTTAACCTTGTCAGAATCTTTCCTCAATTTAGCCACCTCAACAACTTTCTTAACCTTTCGGTCAGCAACTTTTCCTTCCATGGATTTTTTTTTCTCTTCAACTTTGTTTTCCTTCTTCCTGGATGCTTCTCTCTCTCTTATTTTCTTGAGTGGTTCTTTAATTGCTTCTTTTACTTTTCATATTTTCATTTAAAAAATGGAAAACGTTAATTAACAGCACCATTTTTAGATCATGGAATACAATTTTGTGCAAGGTATCTGCATAATGTAATGCCAATTGCAGCTCCAAACCTGAATAATCTAAGATGACCACCCATATTACCCCCCCCCCCTCCCCAAAATCTAATGCTGGCATAGCTAGCAGCCTATTTTTTATTCTAATTAACCCATAACAAAATTCATGAAATATTTATGCAGAAAGATCTCTTGATGCCTAAATACTTGTTAATTAGGATGGCAATTTAAGCTATTAATACATTTATAAAACTACACAAATTAGATCTGAGTTTCGTACTGAAGTCTTAAATCATGCAGCAGATGCAGAAAATAAGCATCTTATATTAAACGGCTGTATTTTCAATTTCATACTCTAACAGTATTAGTTATAGAAAAGTAGTTTTATTAGTTTACTTTTACAGAACACATGCTTTTCAATGACTTTGTCTAACACCTCTTTGATCCTGGTACTTTGAATCTTATAAGATAAAGAAAGTATTGTATTTGTAAGACTACCTTCTTTAAAACAAGATCTACTTGTGAATTTTTCAACCTCATAGATCAGCAAGGAAATTTACAGTAACTAATATCTATAGCATAACACTTTAGGGACACTGTCACCTTAGTTAGGCCAAAGATTACAAAAAAAAATTAATATGACTAGGAAAAAGGTTGAGAACCCAACAGCGCTGTTAGTGAATTAAAACCAGAACTGGGAGTACTAGAAACTGATTTCCTTAACAATATGCAGAAAAGATGATTCAGCAAAATGAAATTACTTTGATGCTATTTTCATATTTTGTGTGGTTGGGAGGTGGGGGGGGGAAATCTATGTCAAAATAACTTTCCACTTTATACATAAACCTGAAAACTATTTTGCTTATTATGATGGGGTTAGCATAGAAAAAAAAGATTCATTTACTTTCAGCCCTATTCACACTTACAAATAAAAGAAATTAGCCTGGTCCTCTTCCTATGAAAGGCAGTAGTAATTTTTTACCTTTGTAATTTAACAGAAGCAGATTTTCAATCCTTACTCAGGAAAGTCTTCCCTTGAAGCCTACTGGAGGTTTTGCCAGAGTAAATTAATAATGAAAGCTGTAATGTAGTGTATTACTAACTGATTACTTGTACCTTCGTATTACATTTTCTGCATATGAAAAGAACATACTCTTTCCATTCATAAAAGTTATAATTCAGCCACCGTATATCCTCCCAACAGGTTCTCTACATGATGTGCAAGGACTGAAGGCATTTCATAACATTCCTTCACTACAATACCATACAATTCTTCAGTAAGAACCCAAAACACAACAAGTAACTAAATGGCTCATTTATTAATATTTTGGGAAACATACATTTTCAAAACAAGTTATTCCAAACACAACGCAAAACAAAAGCTATAAATTTCAGCTGGCATGCAAAGATAAGAAAAAATAGTATTCATATGTGCATGAGAACTTTCCCCAGTAGACAATTTTTTTCTAACCATCTTTTCACTGTAAATTAACAAAAAAATAATTTGGTACTCTAGCTTTAGAGGGAAAAAATGATAACCAATGTTGGTGTAGTTTGTTACATTCAACAAGCAGGCTTCCCAGTACAGAGTAGTAGATGCAACAGATTATTCCCGGCGAATGTTTCTTCAAATAAAACTAGAATTGCAAACAACCCTAGAAATAACATCCAATTAGAATGGGAACAACCACTAAACTCTAATTTCTAAACCACACTTAAGAATTACTGGATGAAATTCTATGGCTTATGTTAGGTATATGATCCTAATGGTCCCTCTTCTGCCTGAAGATCAATAAAACCCTTAAATATCTGAAAACAGTAAAGATGTCACTGAAGAGGATTAAGGAACAAAACAAAATCGGGGCATATATTTAAAATGTCTCTCTACATACACCATATGAAATAACAGAGTTGCAAGACATCAGCGAAATCATGCAAAAAACTTGCACAAAGTGTTTTTGAATAGATTTACATTTAATTATATCCTGTATTAGGAAAGCACTCAAATTAGCTGCAGATGGATAACAGGAATTTGAAATTCTGACTGAGAATTTGCAGGATATTTGTTTGCTGCATCTCCAACTAAAAAGACAATCACCAAATCTAGCATTAGTAGCCAGAGTTCAATTACCTGGTTTGCAAATCTCATGCATTTCAGGCATTAGAAATTATTTGCACAAAACTCACTGACAAAAGACGCATCAAAGTACCTTTGGCCTTAGCTTTTCTCTTGTCTACCCCTCCTGGCTCCTCTCCTGATGTTTGTAAGACGGAAACAGGTTATAAACATATTTTCTGATATTCAATACATAATTTACCAATCTAGAGCAACAAAATTTCATTGGCTCTTTATGGTAGTTAGAGTTCAGATTTCTTCCAAATGCCAACCATTTCTAAATATATTTTGAATTATATATTTGTTAAAAGAAGAGCTCTTTATTGTACTTCCATTTGTTGGAGACAGCATGGATTGCAGGACTGGGCTCAAATTAGGGTCAGATGTTCATGGAACAGTTAAATGATTCTCACAAATACCAACCATAAGCAGACCCATAAGATACTTTAATTGAAACAACTTTCAAACTACTAAATGTATCCACCAATTGATTATATTAACCTCTACAGTTAAGTTGTGTAATTTGTGCTTAAAAGTGACAAAAATGGCTTTATTACACTGAAAAAGACTTTTTGAACTGCTAACCCTACACACTTGACCTGAGATCTGAAAGCCAAACTGCGTTCTCTCCTCATGTTTTAACATCAGTGATAAAATAGTTAAGGCCCAACTTGGCTGGCAAAATTACACTTGTGTAACTTTACTGCCTCCAGTGAATAAACTTACAAGATCTAAATAAATCACTCAGTTGAAGCAAAAGGAGTACTATTGAGCCAATGGAGATAGTAGAATTAATAAAACTTATTTAGCAAACTTATGAAGCAAGTAAATATGAAAATATATCTTAAGCTGTTACAGTGTTTAATAATTTAAAATGGTAAAAAAATCTGGTTATTTCAAAAGCCTTTTGCATAAATAAGAGCATGATTTAATTAGGAAAAAAACGTACAGAACTTAATTTTACCTTTCCCCAAAAAGATCAGTAATTTAAAACTTTATTTTAAATTGAAACGTGCATACTCCATAGGGAGAGAGCTCAGCAAATACCGTTTGTGTTTTATGGATGTTTCACTTGTTTATAGATAGACTGCAGAAAATTATGGGTAACTCTTCTTATGTAGACAAAGAACAGTCCTCAAGTTCTGAGCAAGTTATTAATGCAGCCCTCAAGTGTGCAAATTTTACATGCCCTTCTATTTAGCAAGCCAACTAATAGATAGTATCATTTCCAAATCAAACCATGTCTATCATCATTCTTGGTCACAGAATTCTACAGTAAAAATATCTCTACACTTAAAACAAGAACACACTTTAAAATTACTACTATATTTTGATCTAATTTGAATGCTTTACAAACTTTTGGCATCAATATTAGTTTTGTTTTGTTAGAGAGAATTATTATGGTAAATGAATATGATTTCAACAAAACAAAACACTTACCGCATATAAGCGGTTAATGCCTTACAAGGTGAATATTATAGTTATACCTTTCTAGGAGAACGATGTAATAGCTGAAAGCAATTCTATACCACACTGCTACATACATACATAAACAGCTAACCACAAGAAAGATTTCAACCAAATCTGTAACTTTTCCTGAAAAATTTATTTTGGCTGTACATACCACATTTTTTAGAAGATACTAAAATATAGTTTACAAAAATTTGAAGGCATATATTGTATAAATGTCAGTATTAGTACCATTTCAATCATATGTGATAAACATATGTGACAAAGTCAGGCCGGACAGCTGCAAGGGGTCTGGGAAAACAGGTACGTTAGCTCTAGAATACTAAAGGCTCTTTTTCCTACAAGCTGGGAAGGGGTTACTTCAGGTCAATTAAGGACACCTGAGTCCAATTAAGGGCTGACTGAAACCTGTTAAAAATCTCTCTCCTGGTGCGGGTGAAGACAAACTGCTGCAAGGCTGGTGGCAGCAGGGAGACAGGATTCTCCATAGGGGAGACACCCAAATGCAGTGCTTGTTTAGGGGAAGGACTGAGACCCCGGGGCCAGTGACAGGACAACACCTGCCCCAGTGAGGTATTCCCCTTTAGTTTTGGTGCGTTATAGACTTGTTTTCTTTTGTTTGGCCGAGGACCACTCCTCAGGCCTTCCCCAAGGCTTACCGAGAAGGCTCTTAGAAACAAACCCCAAAGAGGGAAGACAGACACACTCCATAGTGGAGCTGATTTACCCTGCCGGAGAAGAGAGCACTAAGTCCAGCGAGGCAGAAGGGGTGGCTTGCCACATATACTATTTCCAAATTTTATGACAGATTTGGAGACTTCTGCAATTCTTTTCACAAGCTGCTTACTAAATTATGTAAAAACAAATATTACTATAAATATAGTATCTTTTCATAATTCCCAATGTTAATCAAGTTGGTACTACACAACTCTACTTAAGGGACACTAACTCTTAAAACATTACACACAAGGTATTCTTACACTTGGACAAATTTTTTTTAATACAAAAGAAAATGTAGAATGAATCACGCAAATAAAGCACCTCAAGCATTTCATTCCTAGAGAAACAATACACAAGTACTATTAATTCAGAAAGAACAGCATTCAAAGACAAAGAATAGTTAGAGTATTTAATACAAAATGAAACTTCTAAAGGATCTATCATTTTAAAGCTGTTCGCACTTTATACTTTTGATGTACAAGACCTTCTTGGAAACTTCCAAGTTTCACTCATTAAAAATAAATAAATTAAAAAACAATTTACTTCTCCTATTTTATTTGACAAAATGATCATTTTATTCTAAACATTTAAATTAACATGACTGAATACACTTTTGAAGTGCCTTTGAGTGTCAGTTTCATTAACTGAGGTCAACATACACCTCTACCCAGATATAGTGCGGTAAAGCAGCGCTCCGGGGGGGCGGGGCTGCGCACTCCAGCGGATCAAAGCAAGTTCGATATAACGGGGTTTCACCTATAATGCGATAAGATTTTTTGGCTCCCGAGGACAGCGTTATACCGAGGTAGATGTGTATATCGAGAGAATTGCTGATGCTATGCTGGTTTGGTTTGTTCAAAATAAATAAATAAAATGTTAACTTTCTTTTTTTTAAAAAAATGCACATGAAAATGCTCATAAAATGTCACCGATTTTTAAGCAGTATTCCCAGTTGATGGGGAATTCTGTTTGAATACTGACAGCATGATTTGGTCTTATACATCCGGAGGACATTCCCCCATCAGTTTACAACTCTTAAGTGGATTTTTTTTTTTAAGGTAAAATGTAAATATTTCTGAGCTAGTTTCTAACAAAAGAAGGTCCTGTTTTTCCAGGAGTCACAATGCTGAACTTAATAATTAATGATATTAAAGCTATAGTACAATTGTTTAATGAAATTTTAAAGAGTTAAATTACCTCAAATCCATTACTGACATTGACATTATTTGTAACTATACTTGTTCTATAAATGTAAAGCACATTTACTAGAACTGTAAGTAAACATCAAAGGCTACATTTTCATACTTAGAAATAACTTTTGTAGTTCACATTCAGTCTGAGCAGATTTGTTGCCATACCCCAGAAAGTTCCATCAGGTACGACAGAGTAGTAGAAAGAAAAGAGTTTCATGTCAGGCCACCACCAAGCAGTTTCCCAAACTAGCTATCTTTAGCTTGCATACAAAAAGTTTATCTCTAGCAGAAGATTAACAAAGGAAGATATTTAAATTGTGGAACTAAGAACACAAAACTAAGTTTCCAAACAAGAAGTTAATCTTTATATTATAAAATCAGGTGTTCAAGATCAGTGGATTTACACATCTATCTATCTATACTCCATAGAAGAATCACAAGAGAAAACTAATTTATGCTTTTTTTGGTCTTGTCCATGTCATTTTTTTACTTCTACAACATACTATATTGGAATTTTATGGCCTTCTGCTCAACCAAAATAGTTTGCTTATAAAAGGCTATCACTTACCTTAAGTTGGATTCTATTTGCTACCAAGTTTCATGTGTCCTTCAGGTAACCAGGCAAATCAGAGCTTGGAAAGATGTTCTTCCCACACTCCCAAATACAAGAGAGCTTTGCAGTTTACACAGCTAGCATAACAAAGGATTGCAGAAACTGCTGTCAAGTCATTCAGAGTAAGCTTCTCTGCTCACTTAACTATGAAAGGAAGAACTGAGTCATAGCCATAGTACATTTGAGCTGAAGGATGTTGACCTAAAATCTGTTAAACACTTCCCTCAATTGTATGGATCCCAAGAATATCTGGGACGGAATGTATGTTGTTAGAGGAGATTCATAACTCAGATTATCTATCTTTCTCTCTGAATAGAAAGAATTGGGCTTTAAAAAAGTTGATTTTTTTGAGACGATAAAAATCACAGATGTATGAGTATTGCATCTTGTTTGCAAAGTAGAAACAAAAGTCCAAGAAGTCTTTTGTCTTTGTTAGCCTCAGTAGGTGCAACACAACTATGAAAACTGATTGAAAAACCCCCTGGTAGTGGTGCAACAGCATGAAATTCATTAATTACTATAGAAAGCTACCTTGCTGGATGGCTGCGGAGTTGGGAAACACATCAGTGCAGACTGACTGAACGAACCACAGAGACTTTGACCTCAAAGTATTAAGCAAAAAATGTTTTAAAAAATGGATTTGTTCTATCCTACCATTTTTACTAACAGGAGCTGCAATAAAAATCTTCCCTAACCATTCAACGCCTTCCCTTCCTTTCCTCCCCCAACCCACATAACCTAAATGAATAATTCATAAAATTTTAATTTCTTCTAAGGTAAGTCACTGGAAACTGACTAACGATACAAAATTATGAAATGTTACCTAAGAATGAGCAGTCTTATAACCAACTGCCCTTGAAAAAGTTTAAGAGTGAAAGTTTTAAAGATACTTTTTTTTTTTAAATAAAAAAAGCTCCAAAATATATGCAATAGTAATCTCAAAAGATATATAAACATTTCTTGGGTTCATTTTATTAACTTTAATATAATGATTCCAGTCATTCTAAACATTGTCCCTTAAAAAGAATTGCTTACATTTCCACATTAAATACTGTTGAAGATGTCACAGAAATCAGGGGTTCAGCCTTTAAATATATTATCAGCCATTACAATTTTTGTGGGTGGAACAGAACTATAACTTTCATGTAACTCATTTTTATTAGTATCACAGCAAAGCAAGCAAGAGATTATGCAGAAACATTAATGACTTCCCAGCATCCATTAGCTCAGCTCACTAAATAGTATTTTTAATAAAAAACTTAACGTCTGATCAGTTTAACAGCACTTCCCCTAACCATTGTGTAGAAAATAAAAATGATAAACACAGAATTACCCGGATTTTCTCTTCTAGAATAAAATGATAGTAGATTGCACAAGTTAGGAGAATCATATTTCATATTTACAATTAAGATTGTAAAAGGTTGTGAGTTCAATCCTTGAGGGGGCCACTTAGGGATCGGGGGCTAAAATCAGTACTTGGTCCTGCTAGTGAAGGCAGGGGGCTGGACTCAATGATCTTTCGGGGTCCCTTCCCGTTCTATGAAATATACCTATCTCCATATATTTTTTATTTTATTTTAACCCATTCAGCTAAAGGTCAGCATGCCTAGTTTTTGAAGTGTCACGTTATTTAGCCCAATGCTTTTCTGAGCTCTCTGAGAAACCTAACAATTTTACAAATGCAATGTGTCATATAATATCCTGTTTGTAGGTTGTGAACTTTAATTCTGATAACTGGTTGCATTTTGAAATTTTCCATCTATAGGACTTGGAGAGCATAAGGGAGCAGAACAGAGAAAGGCATCCAGAAATACTGTTCATAAAAATTCTGGAGAGGTGGAGAGAATCATTAACTGCAGCTTTTTTAAAGCAACAGGACACTTATTTGATGCAACTCCATACACTTTATTAAAAATAACTTTTTGAGAAAGATGAAGACCATCATAAATGTATCCCAAGGGCAAATATTTAGTCATAAATCTTCACAGCAAAATTAATAATATGGTATAGGATGTAAGTTTAGTTCATGTCACATTAACAAGACCTCACAGAACAGTATTTTCATTTAGGACTACAAAATAAACTGTGAATTTATCATTTATGCTGTATATACACATTCCATTAAAATATGGATCATCACTTAACTTCAACTGTTATACGTAACCCGGCTCTCTTTTCTGAACATATTTTAGATCATATCAATGTATGTGGAAGTAAATGAAATTTTGCACATTTTACATATTTCTTTGGCTTTTGTAGAATATTTTAATATACCCAATGTATTTAAAAAGTGAATTAAGTCACAAAGGACATCCATATGTTCAGATTTTCCCAGCCAAAGCCTCTTTTTGGGTCTCTCTTCTCTATCCAAGGGGGATTATATAATAGGAAATGTCCTACGTTTTTGCAGAGCAGACAATCTGCAGCTCAGAAAGACCCCCCCGACTGAGCCACTTCCCAACTGATCCCTAACCTGCAGCTAACTGGTCTAGCAAACCATGGGTGCTGGATTCCACCCACCCAGGTCCTGGCTCTCAGCCCTGGGCAAGAGGTTCCACGGGGAGGCACTGACTAACGGCTGTCGCTGCATCCTGAGCTTGGGCCAGACGCTCTGCCACGGTGACAGACAGCAATACTGCCCCCACCTCCAGTGAGTACCCCTGCTGCAGGCATCCCCTCTCCTCCCCCAAGGTCCCTCCTTTGGTAGTGTCCTCTTTTTGGGAACCTGAAATATGGTAACCCTAAGTTTAGGCTTTAGCCCACCATTTTGTTACATGGGCATTTCAGAACAAACTATGTAAGGCTCAAGCATATTGTTTGTACTTAGACAAGATGGAATTGAGTTTCAGTTCTAACTATTCCCTTGCTTATGTGAATATAACTGTAGGCCTGACTTGACATAGGTAACTTGCATCATTTCTTAATGGGCATGATTAGGAAAGTGAATGGAAAGTTCGACTGTAAATAGGGGCTGAACAAGCAGAAGTCGTGATGTCTATGCTAGTTAAGATAAGCCGGAATACCCCAATGCTAGGGACAATGGACAAGATAAATATGGAATGTAAAGATCAGGTTCTATCTGAGCAGCACATGGGAAGACAGGCTGTACAGGGATAGATTCCTGAAAAGTAATCAAGCCAATTCAAAAACATGTAATGCAATGTCAAACATATATTTAAGTGTATATAAAGGTTTTCTATGCAACTTTGGATATGTGGTATGCCCTATACCCAGCCCCTACGCTTGAGTCTGATCTACTCAGCGTAGCTTTCCTGTATGCCAAATAAAGGAACCTGAGTGATTAAATGGGGAGTTGAACTGAGTTTCTGGATCCCGGAGAATGAAGTGTTCTCCCAGAATCGAAGAAGGTGTTCTGGATAAGCTGAATGGAAAAGGTCTTGGAGGGAATCCCAACGATAAACAAATTTATTTTAATTTTTTAAAAACACTGAAGTAAAATTAAAACTCACTAAACTTGTATTAGGACCTCCAAGACAGAAGTCCCTCACATCGTTAGATAACAATTAACATATTTCAGTGCAATGAAACTAAGTTTTTATCATAGATTTTCAGAGTGGGATTTCACAATTGCTCAGCATTGACTTAACACTGCTCCCACTGAGGTCAATGGGATTTTAAGGTACATCTACACTTCAAATTAAGTTGTAATTGTAGCACAGTTAGGAATACCCACACTAGCTTTAATCAGGCTAGTGAAGAACAGTAGTGGAGATATGGTGGCTTCAGTGTTGGCTATGTCCCATAAGAAGCCAACTGGTGACTCTGGATATGTTCTCAGGTTGCTTCCCCCATTTTCCTTGGAGAACGCCCTTACATTCTTAATGTGTCTTATTGTTGAGAATGTTCATGACACTCAACCAGACCTTTCCCTCCCTTCACTTTATATTGTTTCTTTGGGTTATACCCTACTCTAAGTAATTATTGCCCATTCTGGGTGTTTGCAGTTCCCTAATATTTCTAGACAAATTCTGTACCTCACTCCCCAATTTACTTGCAGTTCAAGAAGCCAACTACACTTAGTTTCATTTTGAATTATGTATCAATGCTGTCCAAGCTACAATACTATTTATATATCTTTAAAACTGCCACGTCAATTCAAAATTCATTTAAAATAAAGCACATTAAGTTTCAGCCTGGATATAACAAATTAAAACCCTGAGATATGAGTTTCATAATCGAAATTTTTTACAAAACGTAAGCATAGCAAAGTTAACCGGCATCATTAACAAAATGCTTATGGTATTGTCAACATTAAAATTATATCAAAGAATTAATTATATGAATATACCATATTGGTATATTAAAATGAGATCTCAGTTCAGGATTTCTGAACTAGATAAGAACTGAAGCTGATTGAACACCACTGAATACCTGCCGCTCAGTGAAAGTAACTGCCATAATCAACAAATCCACATATGCCAAAATAGACTTTGGAAACATGCATTAAACAATTTAACAGATTAATCCTTGAAAAAACGGAATCAGGTTTGTTGAATTTGGCAAAAAATAGAAGACATTAAATCCTATTTTGTGTGGAGTAATCTTTAATATATTTCGTCATTACATAAGAAATACATATTCACAATTCCCCACTTTCATAAAATGCCCACTAAAAAAATCCCTTGAAAACAGATCAGAACAGCCCTTAGGGTGTGATTATTATACAAAAAATTAGACTGAAAACTCTCTTTCAAATTAGACAAACATATTGACATGCTATTTCCTAAATACAGTATGTTAACTAACCTAGAACAAAATAATTTTTATACATTTACAAGCACTATTAATACAGTGCTTCTAATTAAAGGGGTAAAAAGCATGTATCTGAGAAATCAGTGAATCAGAAAATTAATTTTAAATTTAAGGTATGAATAATTTATCATATGGTATTTCATAAGAGCACTCATTTGTATAATAGCTATATTAGTAAGGATTAACATATAAATATATATTTACATAACATATTAATCATGCCAGAATATCTTGTAATCAAGCCCATTACAAAATGCCTCAATTAATGCTTGTTAGAAAGACAAATGTTTATAAGGGGTAACGGTACAGCTTACTATAGTTAGTTTGCCAACTTTAGTGCACAAAATGCACAAATTGTTGAAGCAAAACCATACAGAAGCCAACTACATAACTGCAGACACTTTTTATTTAGTTATTTTATCCTAGGCATAATTACACATTTGTGTAAATGTTAATCTCCCTGTCACAAAATGGAGAAAGTCACTGAAAGGCTTTTCAAGTAGTGAAACTATATCGCATGGCTGGCTGATTTTAGCTCATATTTAGAATGTTCATTAAAGGTTTGGTTTGTTTTTTAATCCACCCACTGCCATAAAGCCTTGTCATATTAAGATTGATGATTGCATGGACATTTTCACAAGCCAATAAAATTAGCCCCTGAATCAGTCACTGGTTCTGTAAATCCAAAATAACGCAAGTCTTTTTTCCCTGAACCCCTTCATTCTGTGACGTACCATCAACATCATCTGCAGCTTCGCTCTCTTCTTCTTCTAGTATTTCAAAAGGAGTCATTACATCATAGAGAAATGAGAGGAAGCCATAAAACCAATCAGAACTTTCCTCTGCTAAAATATTAAGGACTTCCTCAAGGGAATCAATATTTTCATTACTGCCATCTTTGGTCAAGCCTACACAAGAATAGAGGAAAGAGAGAAAGAGAAAAAAAAGGACAGCAGTTAGGTGGAAAAAGGAAACTGAAGAAAGAGGATCTATAAAAGACATCTCATGCCAGACAGCAGTCTTTACAGGAATGCTAATTAGAAATAGAAGAGAGGTTACAAAAAGTGTCACCCTGCAAAGAAGTAGAGATTCAAATTTGGACAATACATGCACCATGTCATTGTTTCAGGCAACAAGGCAAATCTGGTTCCTCTTTCACACCTTCCTCCCTGTAAACAAACTGAATAATGATCATATTCATCTTGTCTCTTGTGGCACTTAATATTAAAAAGCAGGAGCAGTCTTAGGTAACTTCTTTTTTTTGTTTTTTCCCCTCCGACTTTCCTAACTGTTCTTCGAGATGTGTTGCTCATTTCCATTCCGTGTTAGGTGTTTGCACACCCATGTGCACAGCTGCTGGAGATTTTTCCCCTCGTGGTATCGATAGGGTAGGGGCATCAATGGCCCCGTGCCCTCTCAATTCCTTCTTGCGGCAACTCTGACAGGAGAGGGGGGGGGGGGGATCATGGAATGGACATGAGCAACACATCTCAAAAAACAACAGATACAAAAGGTAGGTAACCATTTTTTTCTTCGAATGCTTGCTCATGTTGATTCCATGTTCGGTGACTCAGAAGCAGTATCCCTGGAGGTGGGCTCAGAGTTCACAGGGATGCTGATTGTAACACTGTTCTCCCAAAGTGTGCATTGTCCCAGGCCTGCTGGGTGATAGTGTAGTGGGATGCAAAGGTATGAATAGATGACCATGTCACGGCTCTGCAGATGTCTGGGATCAGAACTTGTGCGAGGAAGACCACTGACGAATCTTGAACTCTCACTGAATAGGCCGTCAAGATGGCTGGCAGCGGAACCTTTGCCTGCTCATAGCAAAACCTGATGCAAGAGGTTATCCAGGACGAGATTCTCTGGGATGACATGGGCAGAGCGTTCATCCTGTCTGACACGAAGAGCTGTGTTGACTTGCGAAAGAGTCCAGTCCTTTCAATGTAGAAGGCCAGGGCACGCCTAATGCATGCAGACCATATTCCTCATCCAAACCGTGGGGCTTTGGGAATAAGACAGGCAGAAAAAAACCTGGCTGTAGTGGAACTGTGATGCCACCTTTAGCAAGAAGGCCAAATGGGGGTGCAGATGGACCTTTTATTTAAAGAACACTATGTAAGGGGGTTTGAAGTCAGGGATCCAATTTCGGAGACCCTTCTAACCGACATGATTGCCACTAGGAAGGCAATGTTCCAGGAGAGCAGCAGCGAACAAGAAGCCATTGGCTCGAAATGGAGCTGCGTAAGCCTGGACAGAATCAGATTTGGGTTCCACAGGGACCGGGACGTGGACCTGTTGGGTATAGTTTCTCTAAGCCCTTGAGGAACCAGACTGTCATCTCATAGAGAATACTGACCTGCCCTGGACTGGAGGATAGAAGGTCAAAATGGTCACCAAATGGACCCTGACCAAGGATAGAGCCAGACCATGGTGCTTCAGGTGGAGCAGGTAGTCTAAGATGGTCTATAGAGATGACTATGTCGGGGCAAGACTCTGATCAGCTGCCCAATAGGTCTTTCTGATGGAGGGTTTTCTGCTACCTAGTAAAACCTGCTGGACCTGCTCCAATCAGGTTCGTTCCTCCCAGTTCAGCCACACAGCGGTCAGGCCGCCAGGTGCAGGGATGAGAGGTTCAGATGGAGTAAACAGCCTTGGTTCTGGGAGATCAAGTCCGGGCGCATCATGAGCTCTAATCCAGCTGCTACCAAAAGTTCCAGAAGTATGCTATACCAATACTGGGGGCGATTAGGATTATCTTTGCTTTGTCTCTCTTGATCTTTAAGAGGCCCTTGTGAACCAACGGTATCGATGGAAAGGCGTATAGCAGACCCCCTCTCCCCCCAAACGATGGGAGCAGAAAGGCATTGGACAGGGAGCACTTGCTGAGCCCTCACATTGAGCAGAACTGCTAGCATTTCCTGTTCTGCCTGGTGGCGAACCGGTCCATTCGGAAATTCCACCACTTCTGGAAGATGGCGCTGACTACCTCAGGGTGGAGAGACCATTCGTGGCGAGAAGAAAAGGACCTGCTAAGGCAATCCACTAGCATATTCCAGTCCCCTGAAAGGTGCGCTGTCTTGAGGTGAACATGTTGGACGAAGAAGTCCGACAACTGTAACGCTTCCTGACACAGGGCTGAGGAACGAGCCCCTCCTTGTTTATTATAGAACATCAAGGCTATATTGTCCGTCAGTATCCGCACCACCTTGCCCAAGAGGAAGAAACACCTGGCAAGCCAAGCCAATCTTCCTCAGTTCCCCGATATTCATGGTGAGGGAGAGTTCCTCCTGTGACCAGAGATTTTGGGTACTGCAATTGCCAAGGTGGGCTCCCCACTCCAGGTCTGATGCATCTGATACCAATGTCACTGACGGGCACAGAGTGGCAAAGGGACTCCCGGTCATTACTGATCACGGATCTGCCCACCAAGTCAATGATGTGAGAACGGCAGACGAGATTGTGAAGAATAATTCCAGGTGGTGTTTGCTGGAGGAGTTGAGGTCTGAAGTGCAGCCACGCATACTGTGCATGCTGCCATGTGCCCCAGCAATCTCAAAACATACCCGAGGGGTCCTGAGCGGGTGAGATCTGACATGGGGGAACTGGACTTCTGGCAGGTAGGCTCTGGCCTGACTGGAGTCGAGCACTGCTCCTAATTTAAAAAAAAAAAAAAAAAAAAACCTATCCTCTGTACTGGGATCAGAGTGGATATCTGCTTCTTTATCAACAGACCCAGCCCTAGACAAGTGACCTGTGTTGAACGTGAATTTGCAAATGGCCCTTGGTTAACCAGTTGTCAAGGCATGGATAGAGCTGTATGCCTCGATGTCTTAAGTGAACCGCAATTACCGCCGTACACTTTGTAAAAATCCTTGGGGCTGATGAAAGTCCGAAGATGGTGCAGTGAATTGGTAGTGGCGCTGGCCCACCATGAATCGAAGGACCCTTCTGTGCCCACAGAAGATGGAGATCTGGAAATAAGCGTCTTTTGGAGTGAGGGCGGAGTACCAATCTCCCGGATCCAGGGAGGAAATGATGGAGGCCAGGGAGACCATGCAGAACTTCTTGACATGTTTGCTGAGGAGATGCAGGTCACTTTAGGATGGGCCTGAGGTCTCCCAATATTTCCTAATCCCAAAGGCCAAAGGCGACTTCAGGCCTAATCCTAAAGTGACCTGCATCTCCTCAGCAAATATGTCTAGAAGTTCTGCATGGAGGAACTACCTCTATGGCCCTCACATGCAGGAGAGGCTATCTCCTGGACGAGGAGATGCTCGTGAGAAGGGTGTCTGAAGAGGGACAGGACTGTGAGATGGAGAGGGAGGGATGGATACATTCTGCAGTTTTCATCCAAGTGTCGAGGTGGAGAGCACCCATTGGTCCAAAGTTATTTGGGACCATGAATTATGGAATGGAAATAAACGGTCAAAAACAAAAAGGGTGGAGGGTTGGATCCTGGGCTAAGTCCGGTACGCCGCCCTCAGGCACGCCTTCAAAAAGACCTATTTAGGGCCAGCTGGGTAGGCCGAGGTGGAAGGTGCAGGCTGTCTTCGTTTATAGCCCTTTCCTTTCTTCTTGAAGGGCTCGTGCCTAAGAGGTCCTGAGAACTTGTGAGGTGGTTGCGGCCGGAAGCCTTTTCTGGAGGCCAGGGGCATGTATAGGCCCAAAGATTGCAGCGAGGCCCTTGAGTCTTTCAGCCCATACAGATTGGCAATGTCAGCTCGGAGAACAGGGCATTGCCCTTGACGGGGAGGTCTTAGACCGACTGTTGCACTTCTGGAGAAAAGAGAGCACTGCAGCCATGAGTTGTGCCGCATGGACACTGCCGAGGCCATTGACCTGGCCACCGAGTCAGCCTCATCCAAGGCAACTACGATGGCCAGGAATTCTTGCCTCGAATCCTGAGGTAAGGAGTCTCTAAATTTCATCACGGAGTCCCAGATATTATATCTATATCTCCCCAGCAATGCCTGCTGGTTGGAGATCCCAAGTTGGAGGCTGGCGGTCGAATAAGTTTTTCTTCCAAACAAGTCCAGCCTTCTTGTGTCCATATTTTTATGTGTGGTGCTTGCTTGACCCCATCTCTCCCGCTTATTTACAGCGGACACCAGCAGGGACCCGGGCGGTGGGTAAAAGTACGTGTATTCATAACCCTAGGTCAGGACATGATACTTTTTCTCTGCCCTTTTTGACGTTGGGAGCAGAGATGACGTGGTCTGCCAGAGTGCTTTGACTAGTTTCAGCACTCCTTCATGGACTGGTAGCGAAACCTTACAGGGGGCACTGCAGCCAGAATACCCAAGAGGCTGTCTGTGGGCTCCTTCAGCTCCACTTCTAGCTCCAAATTCGAGATGACCAGTTTAAGGAGCTCTTGGTGAGCCTGAAAGTCGTCCAATGGGAGGGCATTGGATCAGCCTCCTCCTCATCTGAGGATGATGAGGACAATGCTAATGCTATGGGAGGGGCTGGAACCTCCTCTGTAACTGGGGTAGCTGCCTCTGGAATCGTTGCTGGAGCCTCAGTACTGGCATTGGAGTCGGACAACCGCAACTGCACAGGCGGCGCTGGGGCTCGCTTCTCAGATGTGGATGACTGATTGGAGTGGGTATCAGGCAGAACCCCCAGGGGTTCCAATATTGGCAGTGTCTTGGCTACTGCCCTGATGGCCAGGTGCCCACTGCAGGAACAGTCCTGAAACCCAGCGTATAGGCCAAATGGTGTCTCTGTGGCCAGGGGATGGATTCCCCTTCCAATTCCGAGGCGGACTCCTCCCTCGGAGACCACGAGCGGGGATGTCAGTGCTTCCCCCTGCCAGCTATGATGGGAAGTGACACTGGAGGGAAGGAGACTGGCATCGTGACTCCAGAGACTGATACTGCCAAGGCGGGAATCAGTGCTGAGATGG